GTAAATAACCGTTCGACCCAATACAGCAGCTTCAAAGCTTTCCATGTGTTACAAGAAGTATCCTCGTGTCCAATAGGAGCATCCAGTTTTTTAAGTTTTGATGAGTAATTTATTTTTTAAAACAATGCATACGGTGCAGTACTCACCTTGTAATCTGCACTCGTATACATTATCTCAGCGGACGACAGGAATTTTTCGGAACTAAGATAGTCCAGTGAGTGCTGCATTTTCCTCAAGTTGTTTGTGTTTTCCTGTTGACATTTCACATGCTCAAGTAGATTGCGCAGTTGACGAGTAATGGATGCTATGGACGGAATCGAATGCAACCAAACATTGAGAGTTATTGATACCATAAATTTTAATAAAATTTTTGACAGCAATTTTATTAATGCCATCAATAAGCTTTCCATCTTTTTTGTACGGCACTATGTCAAGTCAACATGATTTATTATCGGTTCTGGACAGACCGATTTGATCATTAATTCTCAAGTTACATTTTAACCGTACCAATTACTCGCTTATTACCATGACAGTATTCATATAGGCAAATGTGTGTTAATTTACTACTTTATTCATAACGTGCCTGTAACTTTTTTGGTCTATCCGTTATTATCAAGCGACGCTTGATCAAATTGATTTGTCTCACTAGCCCTCTTCACTTTGTTTCATTTTCTCACTTTTTATTCTGGATAAATGAATGCATGAGATAAAATTGTAGAAGTATGGTCTCCTTCGTTATTAGTACTGATGTAATAATAGACTTTATCCTAAAATCGCAGATGTAATGATGTGACTGCCTAATATATAAGATCGTGTATGGAATTCACACCATTGTCTACACTGGCTCATCGTATCCTAGCACTTAACAATATGTACTTAGTGCGTCTGAAGGACACATTGAGGCTGACGATAGGATAATATATTCAATGTGAATCAGGGCAAGTTAAACAGAATGACCATGACTGAGATGCTGAGCTATGCCGTCCGGTTGAATGAATTAATTGTTATCGCCCTCTCAATCTTTGACCTTTTTTTCGTGTTAATTGTTAAGCACGAATTTCCCCAATTATCTCACGTTCAGCTTTGACGGTTGTGTAGTTAGGACCAATACCAATACAAATCTATACAACTTATCCCGTATCCAGCTTCGTAGCAACGTCGTCACACAAAAGAGATAGTATACGGAGTTGAATGGAAGATTTGTTTTCATAGTACTTATGTGCGGTTAAACTGGAGCTATATACAGGGCTAGACACCAACCACTAGATCTGTGATAGCGAACTTGTGACAGAACATTAAGTCAAAAGAGTTGTGATTTCATGTGGACGGATGAACACGTTGCTATCAGCCATATATATCCAAGGATCTAAGCATGTTGTCAAGACACAAAAGGTCAGTGTGTATGCACCAGTTAATGAGTGTTTCATAATCAAAATATGTCGAGGCGGTGTCTGTAAACCAACCACTTATCATGGTATTTGTTGATCTTCAGGTACCTGAGGTTAAGAAGGACGATGACAGCTCCAAGACCAAACCATCCTTCTCAGAGAACAAAACTCCACCTAAGTTAAAAGACGATTGATATATAATCCGCTCAAATTCACTGTCCTCAGAAGCTCTCCCGCTAAATGATCCCGAGCACTTACTCCATTAAAACACACTAGCAAAGATCACAGTTCACCATTTTGTGCACATGTTCCTAACACTAATTTTTCGCCTTTTCCTTTCAGATTTACAATTTAACATTCCTGGGTGTTTACTAGTTACACATCCAATAATCACGCAAGTTCCATCCACACAATGCAAATACACGGCTACAATGTATATAAACTTCAAATTCTATATGACTAAAACTCTAATGACTTCCCTTTTATCTTCTGAATGTTCCTACAGAGAGAAGATCAGTAGTTCAATACCATCTTTTCACTTTGATACTCATATTTGTTTTCAGAATATTAAGACAGAAAAATCAGGGATTACAATTGCATACAGGGAAAGACGCTATGTCATAGGCACTGTTTTTACAGACCACAATTGTGTATTTCACTGTGCTGGGTCAAGTATCGTTGTGAAAGATCTGATAAGACAAAGTTACATGTCATGGCTGGACCGATAAATGCAACCGCGAAGAGGAGAATAACCATGACGTATACATAGATCATGAATATTCATGACTATATTAAACAAGTGGAATCCTATTGAAAGGCCAGCCTTTATCAGCTAAAAAAGTTCAGTTATGTGTGGACTGAGGATGCATAGAACACTCTGTGGTGTAAAGCTAATGAATCAGCTATGGTTATCTTTGACCTCAACGAGGCTCGTTCGCATGTTCAACACTCAATGATTAGCCATCAATCATGGAAGCAGTTCAGCGTGGTGGACGATAAGGCTTGGCCTTTTTAAAATCCCGCCAGTCCCAGAAATATAGATGTTCTGAATTATTACACCTCATGGACGAAATAAGGTAAGATAGTTAAACAGATAAAGGAATAGGTACACTCACTTGAAAACATGCACAAACAAATTCACAAGTAATCATATGTATGAATGCACAATAATGCGTAATAAAAAATTGAGTAATCTTATGTCTGTTCGACCCGATACCACTTAGCATACATATAATCTACAGTAAGCGTGTCAAGCAGATTCTTCACAGGTAGTTGACGTTCTGATGATAAGGATCGAACGAATTTCGACGTTTCTACTTTGAAAACTATGAAAAAGTTCTAGAAACTTAATGTGGTTATTCAGATGCATTTTTCTATTTATTTATAATGAAGTATATCATAACTAAAACGATGGAACGCTAACTTGAACACTATTGGTGAAATTTGAACGGGTTCACATGTTGAGCTGTCTCTTCGTCGCCCAGAATATTGAAATTTAGTTCTAACAAAACCGAAACTGGATCATGTTATAACTTGTCTTTTGAATGCTTGTTGTCTTAGTTCTTTTAATACTACTTTTTGTAACTGGTCGTCGCTGATTGTTATGTCGGAACGTTTATCACTTATACTCGGAACGAGAGACATCTGCAATTCCCACGATGCAAAAGTAAGAACACAAAGACTGGTATAAGTGATGATGTATTAACCCCAAAACACGACGACGACGATTCTAGTAGAAAATACACTCATTTATTTATTGATTGCACACCCATTTTGATTAACCAATAGAATGTATTCACATATATGAAAAATACTTGGAGTTATAACAAATCACAGACTGAGCATTGTTCAAGTCAATGGAATACAAGAATATCGTATATTCTACAAAATAAAATATCATATGAGAAAAGAAAACAAATACTACATTGAGTAATCATTTCACTGAATCAAAACGGAAGTAATCTTGAACAAAACTCATAATGAGTAGATCAGTCGAAAATTGACTTTTATTTCCGTCATATCAGACCACACCTGTTTAAGTGAAAGCACCACTTGTTACGTCCAAGTTTTGCCCGTTCCAGTTATTGAAGTACGAACTATCAATCTACTTGCAAATTACGAACCCGAATTAACAATAGAACCGAACTCCAATTTAGATACCAAATTTATTCGCAATTCACAAATAGTCGACCAAATGTCGTTCTAACAACAATAATTATAACAGTTACAAAACAAACCTTCAATTTTGTAGGTTTCCAGAGCAAAACTACCAAATACCAAACCAACGACAAAGGGAAACTAAAATGTCCGAAATTATGATATAAACAAACAAGTTCAAAAGTTAAGTAAAACAAATACATCCAAAAACACAGTAAATTATTAATATACAATAAAAAGGTTTTAATCTTCAATCTTCAGTTCCCCTGTTACACCACTTTTGTAAGAAATCACTTTCAACGGAGACTGAAAATAATCTGTTAGGATATTCTGTCTCGTTTTCCTCCAAAATTAGTTTTCCTGACCAATGTGACTTTTAACGATCCTATGTATGAGTATGAGAAGTACGTATGACGATCGAACAAAGCTATTTCGACGATTTCCTACTTAATTATAGTCCCACAATATCACTGAATGAGATGATAGGTAAAATACTGAACTTTATAAACAGTAACTACACTAATACAGTGAGCCGATACACCACAAGGCTTGTGCCTCTTCTAAAATTCGCGATCTTATTCAAGAAAGTGGCTATGATATATATGGTTCTCACCTTGGCACCCAAATACCAGCTGGTATAAAAGCTTATTGATGTTTTCAATAAACCCTCATTCCTACGTATTCATGTTTGAAGCCCAACAATTGATTTTGCATTGCCAAATGAAAGATAAATAGTCGTTCATACAGAAGTTTTCGATAGTACTTGGAAACCATTCACGTCTGTACGGAGGATGATAAGATCACTAAATCGGAGATATACTCAGGGAGATAACTCAGATAGTCCTCGGTCGCTGATTGGGCGCAGGTGAACTTAACAAATGTTACTTGAATTTGCGGACTGAATTACAGTAACCCTCAAGGAATTATGGGCAAATATCTCCTAAAATGCTAATACGTAAACCTGTGATGGTATATGAAAAATGAAGACACGTTTAGTTAACGAGTGCCGTATCATAAAATCGAAATGCAGAGCAGTCAATATAACTGACATCGGAATATTTCATACAATGTCTAGTCAATGTCAGTTGAAGAGGCAGAGGCATTCACTGAGTAAACTCGCTAGCCATCCAGACAAACTTTGTACGGGTCTTTTGGTAAATGAAATCGAAACCTTGGGTCTTATGATGTTTTCCTGGGAATACGTGATCGTAAATAAAAACATATACAGGCTACACATTTATTTATCCTTCAAGCATAGTTTAATTTTCCACATGAAGCCCAAAGTTAACTTTTTGCGGATGCAGGAAAAAGTTTCAAAGCTTCATTACCACAACTCTTAATCCTTCACATGGAATGACTAAGGTTCATTAGTTTGTTTCAGTGAACCAAGATGCGGTACTCTTCCAACTAGAAACACTTTTAAATGTGACGGTGTTTTCGTAATTAATTAGGACGATGTTAGAGATCCTTTTATCCCCTGGCTCTCTTAGCTGGGGGAGAGGGCTTTTGTGCATTTTTTCTGCATTCGTTGTTGGACTTAGTGGTGTAGTCCCGCTTCTATTTCTCCCACTAGATAGCATTTGTTCTAGAAAAGGTAACTGTGTATTACCGTCATTTCTTCCTAAACCAGATGTCATTTCTCTCAATAGGTGGCTTAGTTATGCTACTGGAAGTCTTCTTGGTGAAGTTTTTATCCATCTTCTGCCAGAATCCTGGATTAACAGTAAATGTGGCTAAATGTTAAAGACACAAACCAACAATATTGTTGGCTATTTATAATTCGTAGGTGACATCGACACATTTCAGATTCCTGGATTTTGGATACTCAGTGGACTTCTGTTGTTTTTTATTATCGAGAAGTTATGTATTAATGATTCTACTGAAAAAGAGGTACGTCTTTCACTATACATATGGTGAAGTACTTCATCTTAACAATGTAAACCTATTTGCTCCTTTGTCTTACTTTTGTCTCCAAAATGAAAATGTTGTTATTATAGTACAGTTGTGGATAATGATTCGTTCTGGGGTTAGTTTCGACGTCGGCCTCTTGCTTGTAACGGCTTTCCATGTGGTTTTAACCGCTGGTCTATCACGATTTTTAAGATATTTTACATTGGTACCAACTTCACTTTATTAGCATGTCGTTAGATGTTGGTCGAGGTCATACTCTTAAACCAAAGATCAGTGCCAAAAATCGGACTTCGGCCAAAAACAGACCCTTACATTTTGATCGAGACAATGTTTAGATGTGTTTGTATCACCAGAAAGATTTTCATGTGAACGTACATCCCTTCTAGTCATAACTTCAAAACCGACAGTACTTGAATAGATAGACCGTATTCAAGTTTGCTCAGTCCCTTGTCTGTAGTTTTAAATTCGACTTCATTATTACAAAGCTGTCAAAATAAATGTAATAATTGAGGAAACTTACTGATTAGAACCTGTCTTCGTTTCATGTTATCTGTGGTTGTAAAAGACTGACACAACCTCAGACGTTTGACTATGATGTGTGATGACGTAACGCTATTTAGCTTTTCTTTATCCATTATAAACTACTATCTCCCTATTAGTCAAACAGTTCTGCATATAAATTATAATTGAACACCAGTAAAAAATGATCCACAGAATTACTCGAACCATTAAGAAAATCAATCTAACTATTGTTCTTTATCAGTTGTTACTTTCTAACATTATGTGTTACCAAGATCTTCCTCTGAACACCGTCAGAGACTATATTAAGAGCAGATTTACCGACAAACTATCCCCATATAAGCGAAATTATATAAAAAAATACAAACCAGTGATCGGCTTTCATGTCACGCAAATTAAACAATGAATGACACGAAGTAGAACCTACCCGTCAAATGCGTTTTGATTGATTACCATTAGGGCGTAACAGTCGCATTCCAAGACTCCTAAATCAAAGCTAGCGTGTGAACTTTGTAATATTTAAACAAGATGACCTTATGAAGAGCTAGTCAAAATAAGTATGATAATGTCCTTACTTACGCCTGCTACCCCTCGTGGAAGAGCATAGGCCGCACACTAGCATTCTTCATCCAGCTCTGTTCTGTGCAATCCTTCAGGTGCCTTTCAGTTACTGTTCATCCTTTTCGTGTCTGCTTACGATTCCCGACGTAGTGTGTTCTCCGGCCTTCCTTCTTTTATGTTTCCCTTTAAGATTCCAAGTTAGTGCTCGTACTGTCATGTAGTTTGATGATTTCTGTAGTGTATGTACTATCCACTTCCAGAACCTTTCCCTAATTTCCTCTTCATTTGGTAGTTGGTTTTTCCTCTCCCACAGTAAGTTGTTGCTCATAGTATTCGGTCAACGGATATTGAGTATCTTGCGCAGACAACTGTTTATAAATACTTGTACCTTTTTGATGATGGTTGTGGTAGTTCTCCAAGTCTCAGCTCCGTACAACAGAACTTTCTTGACGTTCGTATTAAAAATTCTGACTTTGATATTGGTTGACAGTTGTTTTAAGTTATATATGTCGTTCAACTGTAGGGATGCTGTCCTTACTTTGTCAAACCTTACCTTTACGTCCGTATCGAATCCTCCTTGTTTACCGATGATGCTGCCCAGATATGTGAAGTTTTCCACCTCTCCCAGAGTTTTTCGATCAAGTGTTGTTGGGTTAGTGTTCTTCGTGATGTATTTGAAGATCTTGGTTCTTCTCTTGTGCATGTTGAAGCCTACTGCTGCAGAGGCTTCTGCTAAACTGGTTGTCTTGACCTGCATTTGTTGGTATGTATGGCATAGAAGTGTTAGGTCGTCTAGCTACATGAAGGCTTTCCATCGTATTCCGTGCTTCCCTTCAGATGTGGAGATCTTTGTAATCCAGTATGTAGGTAAGTAGTTACGGTTTTTTAGACTATTAAGGTTATTCGTTGGGCTTGGTTATAAATTAGACAGAAGGAAACACATTCAGCATATAAATCTGTTTTGTTTTCAAGCTTTTTGTTAATGGCGTTTGTTACTACTAATTTCGGAGTAATTAACATTTTATTAAGCTCACCTTAATTAGTTAAATTAGTCGATTATCACACATGGAATATATAGTAGATAACAGTTTTTTAAATTTCCCTTGTGTATAACGCAGTCAACCATAATTTTCAGTCCACAGGGAATCGATTCTGATTAATTAGAATGTTTCTAAACAGGGTTAAACAACTGGTCATTTGAGCCATAATAACCACTGCTATATGTCATTATTTCTGAGGTTTTCGGATATTGTGATCCCAGCTTTGCGTTATGACTGATATGAATTCCAATATCTTCTGGATTTTGCTTATTTTTCCACTGTTATCAAACCATGTTCGTGGTCTCGTGCAGATAATGACATGGCCTTTTATCTGAGATCTTGCTTGAAGTTATTTGTGGTGTTTGTCCTAGCTACTCTGTCAATCGGTTTCATGTGATTATTACCAAGCGTTTTTTTCACCCCCAGCTCAACTAATTGATTCAGGAAGACTAAAGTTTGCATTATTACTTTTTCAGGTCGAAGGTTATCTCAATCTTGCTGCCAATATAATTGATAACTTTACTCACGGTGTGGCTATTGCTGGAAGTTATCTTGTATCTCTTCGTGTAAGTTGACCTTTACGAAGTTTTTAGCTTTCTGTAACCTGTGCGTAAAAGTGAGAATGACGAAAAAACTTAATTTATGAACGTTTTGGGTATGTTTATGCTCCAAGCGTCTTTAAATTCTTGCTCCAGCGATATGTACTTTTAAATATTCCTTAAAAATAAATTTCCTTTCTATCTTTTATTACAACCGAGGTAGATCATAAAACGTACATTTGTTTTTAAATGATACAACGATTGCCTTTGTGTTTTTGATCAGGATAAGAGATAGTATAGCTTCAGAGTTCATCTTCACTAGTCTCCAAAATTTTTATAAATTGTGTTGCTGCTGGACCACTGAGTAATGAAATAATTGTTGTAAATGAGCGGCATATCATTTTCAACACAGTTAATTACGACTAATGATAGGATTTTGATTTTCCGCTTGCCTGCTATATGACAACACACTATGTGACAACGGCTACTCTTGGTTTCATCTCTCGCCATTCCATCCTTCTAATATGATTGATATAAATATTCCATTCATAGTTATCTAATATGGGTATCACAATTGGGCATCAGAACTCTCACACAAATATAGCAATTTTTGATTAAACAGTTGTAATAACAAAACGTTGGTCACAGGTAAATGAAGTATATATAAAGCAGAAATAGGTGGTGGTTAGCAATGGAATCCAGTTTATTTATTATTATTTATTTTAAAACAAATATTGGTACAAAGCAGCACCAAAATATATATGCGTCCCACAATAACAATGAGAATATGAAGAGATAGAGATTTTAAAGTGCACATAAGAAAAAGGAGAACAATAACGAACAGAAATTAGTGTATGAGAGTGAAATAATAATAATACTGGAAAAAGTAGTTCAGTTAAGAGAAATATGATCGGGAAGAACCCCAGTTAAATAAGTTACTCCCACTTATATGAAGAAAATAAAAGAAAGTTTCAGCAGAATCGTCGCTGGCTTCTATTCTGGGCCATACCAGATAACGTCTCAAGCCACTGTGTTGCATCATCCCTAGGATCCCGACCAGGGAGTCCTGAAGGATCAACAAAAGCCAGTCCTGTACAGCTTTCTTTTATACTACAACACCATATCATACATTGACCACTTCTCCACTTATTCCAACCAGTCCCAGCGTCGGCAAATAATACACGACGTAGAACTCTCCGAGACGGCATTCGCAGAACATGTCCACACCATCGGATGTGATGCTTCAAGATAGAAACACTAACTGAATTACCGTCGCTTTGCCCAAACACGTAGTACTGAAATTTCACATTACTAACATGGTGTTGACACTGGATGTCAGCAATCCTTCAGAGACAACGATGATTAAACACTGAGAGTCGTATAACACAGTCAACTCAGAGAGGCTTGGTTTCACAAACATAGCGCAAAACTGCTCTCACCGACGCGTTGTAGATCAGACCTTTTTCAACTACACTAACATCACGAAGGCGCCAAAGATGGCCCAGATTGGCATAAGTACAACGCTGTTCTAACACTTGGTGGAGGGTAAAGATATGACCAATACATCCTCCACCAGAACGAAAACCAGCCTGCTTCTCGGTTTTTCAACAATCTACGAGGTACAACGAAGCCAATAGTTTGGAAGCAGTCGGAAATAGACTTATCTCTCCAGACAGTTGTTACAGAAACTACGTGAACCCTTTTTAAAGATAGGTGTGGTGTAGGTTATTTAAATCCATATAAGTAGTATATAACAGTGGTCAGGCATAGAATGTATTTCAGCAGAAGATTGATAAGGAAAGAACGGAAACGAAACGCAGTTGGTATAAAAATGCATGAACAATGAAATCTGAAACAATTGAATAATATTTACTAAAGAACAGTCAAATTTGAGACGATTGTTTGATATTTTGCAAATTAACTATTTACTGTATGGTTCTCGTTTATAGTCAAACTCGAGGTCACCTGGAGTAGACCGATGGGCTTCAATGGGTTGTAAGGAGCCTGAAGAAACCCAGTGCTTATAAGCGGGATATTTTACGAAGTCGCAAGCGATTTTACTTACCATTTTCATGGCGTTGTGCAATTACAACCAGTGCTCACCTATACTTTTCGATGAGATGGTAGTTAGCCTTGAACCTGGCTCGGTTTGATATTTAGTTGCAACAGAATCCGAAAACAATTTACTGACGTCGATCCGTTCAGGATGATGAATTTGTTAACCACTGAAACGTAAAGTGAGATTCGCACAAACGAGAGAATGATCAGTTTTCAAATAGGTACTCCAAAAGGAGCTGTAGTCTCGTATACAACCACGCCAGCGGTAGCTGATCGCATTTCTCACCGATTTCGCACTTTGATGGAACTTTCTAATCTAACAGCACATAAATGACTGTTAATTGAAATCCATCCTATCAGTGCTGTCTCAGCTCTAGCTCTTAGCGCAACACCGGATAAACGCACGTGAAACGAGCCTTTCAAGACTACAGATGGAGAGCGAATTTGCAGTACTTAACTAGAGTCTTGAATAGGGGTCTCGGATAGACAACAGACGTCAATATTAAGACTTTCTAAAGACAGCCAACCCTATCTGTTTTTCTATCTACAATAATGTGCGAACGTTGAAGAGAGCCAGTTTGAATGGTATATCTCGTTTCAGAAAGACTTTCAGCATTCGTATTCAGTGGTAGTATTCAACTTTTGACCAGTCAGTGCCTCGAGATTATTTAGATAGGACAGGGCTCCCACCATAGGCGATCTGCTGTATAAGTTGATAAAATAAGAATACGCAAAGTGAGAGTAGAAGAGAGTACATAAGTGACGTAGTGTATAAAAAAATAAAAATGAATGTGAATTGTCTGAATTTTAATTGAAGCAAGAATATTTCCAGTAGTAATTGTCACTTCATTTGTATGTGGTACTGCCCTGGTGCCCAGACTGAAGCAGGTGGCTTTTTTAGGGGGGGGCACACTCGGAGCCATTGACCTAAAGGTCTGACCCACAAGACAGTGGAGCAACATCAGGAGATACAGTCCTATGGCAGCCGGTGACTAACAACTGGTTCATACGCCATTTGTTCAATCAGGGTCGCGGTGCCCATGTGCACCATTGGTTTGGAATCAGGGTTTTCCGATTCCCCTCCGTATCCACCAACCCGGTTAGAGCGCCAAACATTCTCTTTTCGTCCTCCCAACTTCGTAAACAACACCCACACCCTGTAAAAACAGTGAGTACAACTTCCCTGTCAGTGGCTGTATACACGTGGTCATATGAGAACATTTTGAGAGAGAGAGAGCTGATTTTCTCCACCCTCGACTATCCCAGGGCATTTGGGGCCGGAACGTACGTTTCATCGTATTTGTGACTCATCAGCTGGATGAACAGTTGGATTCAAACAATCAATACAAAAATGAATTGAAATCTATTTAACTTACTATCATTTCACTCTTCGTTTTAATATATAAGAGTTTCTGAAATATTTCCAATTCATATGTGTATATATTTACTTAGTAAATGTCATGAGTTCAAATAAATGGCAGTATTTTATTCTGACTATCTCAGTTAGGGATTTTGACGACTACCTGCATATTAGTCCATGAAGTTCCTCATGAAATGGCTGATTTTGTAATTTTACTCCGAAGTGGGTTCAGTCGGTGGGAAGCTGCTAAAGCTCAAGTAAGTCAAGATTTTCACCAACTTTTGTAGTATCATTAAAATACAAATTTCTTATGGTTTCTCATTCGAGCTAATTATTAGTTATTCCAACTGCCTTCAGTTTGTCACTTAATTCGTTATTGACCAACGAATAGACGCGTACTCAATACAATACAAAGCATTAGTTCTAGTCTTTTTTTTTAAACAGTGAAGTGGATAATATCACTTACAAAAAAAATGAATTATGAAATTGAAATGGAAACTTATTGGGCCCTTACAGCAAATGCAAAAGAGTAATTGACATGAGTTATAGTAACTGAATGAGAATTTTGTAATTTCACAAAACTTTAATATTTAGTTCTTCTACGTGAGCACCTCAAAGTTACACTCTCTTGATATTATATTCGAAATATCCTTACACTGTTTGACCAATAGGTTACCAGTCGTCCAATATCAGATCAAAATATTTGGATAAAACCAACAGAATCGCTATTACAAAATTTTAATGTGTTTAATATGTAGTTGTAAAACCTGTCGAAGTTGTTCTTTATAACATTAGATGAATAAAATTTATTATGAATTCTTAAGATTACGATAACGTATGTTTTCAATCAAACGAATCAGAGACTAATTCAACCGTCGGTTACTTGTAAACATTGTCCAATTTAGTTATAACTTACCTTTTGGAGTGAATTCAAGACACAATATTTTAGTCATTAACATTCAGGAATGTATTTAAGGACTTTAATTTCAATGTTATTACTTCTGTGCTATACCAAAGGCTTCCTAAAAGGTAACTACAGTTAACTCAAAATTATTATGCGGATGATCTATTTGCAGTTACCTCGCCCAACACTGTTTTCAAACCTTAGGAGCGAGTAAGAAAAACAAAGAGTAATCAAGTAATAAGATGGCGGAAGATAAAGCTAGATTTTTCCATCAAAGTAACATCATCTTACTAGTTATGACCTATTACATTTGGCCAAAGACATCATGTGACTAATTGCTTTAAGATGTTTCCAGCCAAACTTAATGGGGATCTTGTTCCAATTTTATTTTCTATAGTTTTGAAATAATGAAGTGTATTTTTCAATATGATACTGGCCAAATGTTGTCTTTACCCACATATTGTCACCACCAGTTAAACGGAATGTAAAACTGTGAACCCTCTACTTTTCTCGCTATCTTTAAGTTCAAGAAATTTTTCCTGTTTTAAATTTCATCCCAGCAGGTGAATTTTAAATCTGGATGAACTAAACTGAGGTAGCCAGTTAATTGACCAACCTGATCTCTGTTACTACACATGATTAAAACGTCATCATACGTAGAGCTAAACTAAAATGACTGATACAGTGAGTAGATGTGACCATTCAGATGTTTATGCCAGTTTCTGAACAGCATAGCACAGTGAGGAAAATGGTCACTTAGTATACCCAAAATATTTGTATTACCTTATTCAAGTTAGATATTTTAAGTCTTAGGTTCTCATAATCACTGCATATACCATAGGCAACGCCAACTTCAAATAAAAGTGGCCTTTTGGAATTTTTACGAAGATACTAAATCAGCTACTTCTATTGCTTTAAATTGGAATACATGACTCAGCTCAAAAATGCAGACCTAACTATATTCATGTTAATCTGAAGTAATCCTTGTGTTAATTGTAAATCGTCAATTTAAGTGTTTATCGATATTTGCAGGATTGTGTATGTCAGATCAATACTGCTAGTCACTTAACCGAATTAAGTGTGAAGGGCTATTTTAGTCCTTCAATAAATAATTCCTGTCATTATTTCTTTCCTAACGAAAATGTATCTGTGGCTCATTTTATTAAGGCGTTTACACAGTTGTGTAACATATTTGAACTACGCTATTATAGGTAGCCGTTAGTTTCTTCAGTCCTTCCACACAAACTGTTTCAAGATTTGAGTACAAGAACATATGGGTCATTATTGAGTTTTATTAGGTTAGTCTTAACAACAATTAACTTGCTAATAAATTCTTTATAAACTAACGTTTTTTGTTTCAGTTAGCTACAGCATCTGGATCTACTTTAGGTGCTATTCTAACACTTTGTGCTAATGCTTCAGTAACCGGTAAGTATTAATACAGCTAGAATGATTCACTAAATTCCAATTATTTTAAAATTTTCTTAACTCCCAGAGATAGTTTGGAAGTAATTTGTAATTCCTCCGCACCATTTACAATTTATGATCCTTTTATACTTCATTTATTCAATAACTGCTCTACGAAAAAATTCAATAAATTGATAAAATCAGATTTTAATCACCAACGTTTTTTATGACTTTTGCTTTCCGACATACTGAATATTTTGTTTGTCAGGATTTCGTTGAGCTTACTTGTTTGTAATTCTGACTCACTGAGAAAATAAATGAACGATAACATAGGAAAGCTAATATAATTTCTATTTTTAGTCTACTTAAAGAATCATCATATAGATGAACAACTTTCTTCTCCAACTTTTCATATCTTTTAGTTGGGACTGTTTAGTAGTTTTATAATGACTAATTATTAATCCATTGTCAACTGTTTGGTAATCTGCTTCTAAAATATTCAGTAAATATTCCACTTTTTAATCCAATCACATTTTATGAGTTATATAGTTTAGAATTCTAATTCATGATACATTATTAATTAGTAGTCTATGTGTTTGGATTTAATCCATTAGATTACAACTCAAGCCTTTCTCTCCTATTCTAGTCTGAAGAGCTGACAAATATCACTGATGTTCACATTAATAGGTTTAACGTAATATCTTGCGAAGTACAAAACATCTAAAAGAACTAGATTATATAGTTGAATATGCGGCCAAATGATGATATTCACAGACAGCAATTTAGCAACTAGTACTGTAGTGAACAAGAACACCAGTGGGGAGAATCGAATGTATTTAACACGAAATTACAGGACTTGTTAATAAAATCTAATAATCATAAAGTAAATGCTTAATTTGCAAAATGTCCACCAATTGTCTCAAAATGACCCAGACTTCATTTTTCTCGCATTTTCATACAAATTTCATCCTGTTTCATCCTTTATTGTTCGATCCTCTTGTCTTTCTGCTGTCAGACTTTCTGTTCGCGACTAACATCATATACTACTTATGTCAATATAAGTAGTACACACCACAGTACCATCCGAATTCTAACATTCAAAACATTTCAGTGTCATTACATTAACTGAGCTGGATAGTTTAGTCGTAAAAATTTTCGTTGTCTTATAAGAAAGTACCAACTTAAAAAAATAAGTTTAAGTTGATAACATCATAAAGTGAAGAAAATGCGAGCTTCACAATTGTACTATTTCGCTTAAAAATTACTATTCATCAAAAACTTCCTACCAACTTTGTTCACCAACTTAAGATCAAGAAATGTAATACAATATAAATCAAATCAATTATTCTTAACAATTCTACCTTGTCTTAGTCGATTCTGGACAACCAACAAAACATTCTATATAAATTACATTGAAAAACTATCTTAAGATATTCACTTGATATTGTTTGGCTTGTATCTTCCCATTGAGGTGTAAGACTACAATTGATCAGTCTGTTATTGGCATATGTGCATACTGTGCGTATACCTCGATATTAACTTAATTTACAAGCTATTTGTAAGCAACGATGGATAGTGGCTAGCAGCGGAATCCAGGACGCACGTTTCGTCCTATTTGGGACTCGTCATTTGGATGTACATGCATCTCAGAGCTGATGTTCACTCTGAGACTCGAACCAAGTACCATTTGTTTCAAACGCCATCGCGTTATCTTAAGATATTTTAAGATATGCATATACACGTACAGTAAATTCATTTGTTTAATGAATTTTTATATAAATTCACAGAACATTAATGTCTGTTTAAATTGAATTAATCTGATATAAGTTTTATTTGAAATTTCTCAATTCCAATTCTATTATAAACAATATGTTTTTATGAATAATGAACCAAATATCCAGTTTTTATGATTGTTATTGTTGATAATAATAATACTAGACTTGATTATTGCTACATATTATATACATGAATAAAATAATCTATAAAGTATATGAAGGCCATATTCAATACACTATACATATACATATATGGTCTATACCAGTTACAATGATAATAATTCATGATAAATAACGACCAAAATTATGTATCCTTTTTAGATCGTTAGCTACAATCAGTTTATTTAAACTGTGATTAGCTTAATGACACTTGATTATGTTAAATAGACTGTTGTAACTAATGTTTAGATTTACGTTGTGTAAGATAGAGAAATAGTATTATTTTATAGTTTTTATGTAAATTTAACTGTTTGTTATAAGTACGGTTTTTTAAGCAGAGTTAAATGTGTTGGCTAACAATGGTATCCAAAACACATAGTTCGTCCTATTGTGGGTTCGTCAACTGGAGGTACTTGCCAAGTTCCAGTATTGATGTTCACATCAGGGTTCGAACCCATTATCTTTCGCTTCCAATGAACAACGTCTTATGCATTTAGCTACCGAGCCTAGATAGCGACTGGCTTGTACAATGAGTAATAATTTTAATTTAATCTGTATTGGTTGTTCTAATCTTCTCATTAATATTATGAACTGCAGTCGATCAGTCTTGATCATACTTAATGACAATATCAAGACAATCCTCAGATGATCCATATATCCCAGACGAGACCGATCTATTGCACTCCATAGCATCAATGGGATTATTTAAATAACCGATACAAATAATTTGTGAATTCAATTATTTATAAAAATTGTATTCAAAATAATTTCAGCAATTGAAGTCTTAATAACTTCAACATTGCGTACAGCAAACTTGTTTGAACTTCTTCAGGGTAATAATCGAGCTATTTGTTCAAAGTATGACGAATATTCAGACTTATATATATTAATGCAAATGTACGGAACTTCAAAACATTGATATTAGTTCATAGAAAGTTGGAATGTATTACCGTAAATTCTATATTTTTATCCTGAAAACTTGATAGAGTAACACGTGAACATATTAAAGTAGAACCTGGCACAAAGAGTGCCTATAATAAGTCTGAGGTCCTGAAGTACCTAAAACTCCTGCGCACAATTTAAGCAAATATCCTTGTGCAAAAAGTAACGGCGAATTAAGAATATTTATGTAAATTATTATAGTGCAAAGGAAAAAAATAACCAAGATATATTTTAATTCATTTTTGTATTGGTTGTTTGAATCTTTTTATTGATGTTTAGGATTGCTAAACATATATTTTGTTTATCGAAAGGTACATTTTATTGTTTAACTAAACTAGGAAAGAAAGCTTCCACAGGTTCCACATTGAGTTTGATTTCGAAACATAACTGCAGTCAACTCAAAGCAACTAGTAGCATGGTCTCTGTGATCGAATGTGATAGGTTATAATTCGTTAGATGATGTCACTTTGATGGAAAAATCTAGCTTTCTCTTACGCCATCTCATTATTTGACTTCTCTTTGTCTTTTCTACTCATTCTGGTGTAACAAACAATACTGTCTATGGTGATCATATAAATGTTGTACGTAAAACGTTCTCAAATCACCGAAACCAGTGTTTTAAACTACTTTCAACGATTAAATATTGATCCCGATAAGCTGAAACACTTTTCGCTGTACCTTAGGACTATTTACCCGACGTAGTGTCCAAATTGGACCATCTATTATGAGACAACTACATTTGAAAATCTTCAGTTTGGCGTATAGATTTCACATTCACCTAGAAGTACTTCCTGCACCAAATCTTTATAACCAAACTAACATCGCGATAATAATACAGATTAGCACAACTTTGTCTGATTTATAGTATTAAGGATTTTATTTCACTAGTCATACTATCACAATTACTTACACAACTGTTTTCAACAACGTGTTATTCAAAGATGCCCACAGGTTCCGAACTTTTTTAATTTTGTCGTAATTTGATCAACCAATTATAGTACTGACATCAAGCAGAACAAGTGCTGTTTAATTCGCTTGTTTGTCATTTCATATTTCGATGAAATTTTCCGGAAACTTAAGGTTGAAAAGTCACCTTCATTATCACAGGTTTTAGATTTTTTAGACAACTCAACTAACTGACGCGTCCTTACTCGATCTCTGCTTATTTTTTATACATTTATATAAGCGTGATATTGTTACTTTTGCTAACTAAATGAATGTCTCCCTAATGTATATTGATAAAGCACCTTAAAATGCTTAGTTTATTAGTTTTTTGAAGTATTTCAACATTTAAATAGAATATAATAACCCAATTTATATTAAGTAACTAAATAATCCTAAATAGAACAGATTTCAATGTATAATTTTTGGAATTGTCATAGCATCTAGGTTTCATTATTGTTGATGATCATCATAAATATTTGTGTGGACTGGGTTTCTACCTGGATACCCAAAACAAAGCAGTTTGTTAATTGGTGAGCTACTTTTTATACTTCTGCCATTGAACTCAAATTTATTTTATATATGCATCAGTAAGCTTATTATAAATACTGGAAACTATAAACATTAACTACATCTGATAACTAAGACAAATAATTCAAAAGTTAAGGAAAGGCTTTTAATTTCTCCCGTATTTCTACCATAATTTGTACTTTTCCGATATATTTCATATGTACTGTACTTTGGTGATACTGATGGAAAGCATTGAAATACAGTTGTTAAGTTCTTGTCTGTGATCCAACACATTGGCTATATAATATAAACCAACTATTTTTGATAGTAATCTGATCTATCATCTAATTATACGCTAATCAATATTATCATTATCTATATATATTTCATAGTCTATTTATTTATTTGGAATTTTCCATAATGTGATTTTCTTCAACTTTACAGGCTGTACAACAAAATGGATACTTCCATTTACTGCCGGTGGCTTTCTGTACATTGCATTGGTTTCTCTTCTGCCTGATATTTTAAAAGAATTATCATTTAAGTAAGTTGTAGAAACTTTATAATTTCAACTAATGTTAATAATATATATAAAAATGAAGAATATTTGGGCGAACAATTGTTTCCAAAAACTTCATCATCAGGCTCTACAGTTATAAGTCCATAATTATTTTCACATTTTACAAAGGCCAAAAATAAGGCATATATTAATGTATTTAACAATGTTATGTGTTAAAAATGGTGAACGTTTGCATCTGTTACGATATATTTATACTTCAAAATTGTATTATTTGCAAATTAGAAATTAGAACATGTACCAGCTTGGTTGGGAAAAGGAGTTACCAAATCGATTAACAGCATCATTCTTTCTCACTTGGTAGATAGTGAAGATCATATCAAAATAGAGGAAGCTCTCTCTGTTTTATATCAAGTTCCAAAATATCCACCACAAGGAGCCAGATTACGACTGCTTTACATAGCCGAAGCCATCTGGATCAACTCCAGAAGACCAAATTTATGTATCCAGAAAAAATATATCCAGTCTCTTTGTTTACCTTAGCCTACGACTGGATCACCGAATACCTAAACTGAATATTATAAACCTCTTACCCCCCTTCCTTTATTTTTATTTATTTTCCTTATTATCATTATTTTTTATTATCTCTATCTTAATCCTCACATCCATCATTCCCAATTCGTTTATCGTAATTACCTTGATAACACCCCCCCCCTTATTACATATTATATTCACACAGCAATCTTATTATTATTATCTCAATCGACAAGATTAAATTCTCCTAGTATGCATTTTGTTCACACAATTTTTCGCATTTTCATTTTTGCTATATAACTATTCTACTGATTGTGACTTGACACCTTACTCCAAATCATTCTGACTCTTATTAAATGACCTTTCTAATTTGAAAATAATACAATTTTGAAGTATATATGTCGTAACAGATGCAAACGTGGTGACATTTTTAACGCGTAACATTGTCAAATTCATTAATACATGCCTTATTTTTGGCCTTTGTAAAATATTATAATTATGGACTTATAACTGTAGAGCCTGATGATGAAGTTATTGAAAACAATTGTTCGCTCAAATATTCTTCATTTTTCAATAGTCTATAGGGATTTTTGATAATATATGCCCAATTCTCTCTTTAATGAAATTCTTCTAAGTTAGGGTTATTAAAACTTCTAATCAAAAATTATATCTTCGTAATTATTCATTAGCTTTTAAGTTAAACTGTACACTCGTCTAATAAAAAGTTGTGATATCTAAAAATGTTA